TCTTGATACACTTGTGCCGATGTTTTGATATCTTTTTCACAAAAATATGGCTCAGTCACTCCTTCATTGCTAATAACCCCACCAAACCATCACTGAAGTCGGATAGTGACCACGTTGCACTCTGTCGACTAATTGGGAAGCTTCCTTAGAGCTTTGAGCATAAACACGGTCATTTTGTTTGTAAAAATGTTGCTCAATTGTAAAAAAAATCCCATCCGTAAACAAAATTTTTCTATGACCTCCCTTTGCGTACCGCTTCAGTGGTTGTTTCGATTTTACCACCCTATTCTCTTTTAAATTATCAGTTAAAAAATGACCAGTACGTCTCTTATAGGCTGCAAGTCCTAAGTCATCTTTTAAAATACGCGACATGGTTCTAGATGGTATCTTCATCTCCCGAGATAAAATCTTTTGCTTTCGGACAGGATTTCTTCGAATTCTTTCCCTTACTGCTTTGATCACCTTTTTGGTACGAATACTACGTGGACGACCAGATCTTCTGTCACAAACAGAGGAGGTCTCATTGCACCTATTAATAGCCCAGTACACAAACATTTTACTAATACCAAGCGTATGGAGAGTTTTAAAAATTGCATTTGGCTCCATACCTACTTTGTGTAATGCAATCACAGCGATTCGGTTCTCTTTATCACCCCACTTCATTTTAATATCGTAAAATGCTGTGCAATGTATTGGCGCCAAAATGAGAAAACTCAATGAACAATCATATAAAAATGACAGATTCCAAATTCAAATGTAATATTTTGTTTATTTCTAATTGTAACAGTATTTATGGCCAGACTAAGTATATTATAAGTTTATTCTTCCATATTAAATGAATTTCTACTAAATGTCCCTGCAATATATTTCTTGAACTTATAAATAATTATCATTTCAACGAAAACAGATTTTGTGTGCATTACATTTACATTTTTGAACTACGTAATGAATTTAGGAATTATTAATTTTATTATAAAATACAAGTATCAGAACTATCTCCTATTGCATGGTAATGGATAGTATCATTTTAACACGAAAGTTGTACTCCTAAAATATTCTTAAAATAATTAGAATTCACTGAAATTTTTATGTGTTTGTTAATATTCAATATTATTAAAAATAACTGAATAACTGAATTTATTAAAATCGCGCTAATCGTACTTTAACGAATAATTAGCCGTCTTCACTGACATTTTTTGTTGAAGTATTGATGAAGTTTGTTGAAGTTTTCAATATTTTTTTAATCTACATAAGAAATAATTAGACAGTATAAACACACTTGTTAACAAACGCTAGTAAATACGGCCATTGCCTCCTCCTCCTCCTTGCGTCGGTTTCCTCATTACTGAGGGTCGTGGTCATGGCCTTCACGGCCATTGCCAGCTTATTAGATATAAAATAATTAATATTTGGGAATTTAATTGTTTTTATGATCGAACAATCACCAATAGTCATCGAACAAACGATAATCGATCAAAATTAATTAACCTGAGCGATAAAAATAAAGATATATAGTAAGGGGGCCCACTTAACTGTGATCATTTATTTAATTAATTATAAATAAATAAAAGACGAACAAACAATTTTTATATTCGAACATTAATGAACAAACGACAAACAAATAATTTAAAAAAATATCCGAAAATCAAAAAAAGGGGGGCCAAATTCACTGAGTTCGTGCGGCCACAATAGAACAAGACCTCTTTTGTTTGACATTGACATTTATCGTCTAGTACTATTAGTAGTATTATTTTTTAAACTGGAAAGACAAAACTGACATACCATACAGCCTAATCTTTTATATAAATATATTTTTTTTCATATGAAAAATGATGATATTAGGGGTTAAAGTATGAAACTGCCCCTGTTATCAAGTAAAACGAAATTAAGATGATCAATATCAAAAATTGTATGAAACGAGATGAGATGATATGGGATGAAAATAATCTCAGTAAAATGGTGGTCATTTTTTTTTTATTCCCACCTAAACCTTGAGAGGCTATTTCAGCGGAATTTTAACTAGTAGGTGAGCTCACGGGGCTCAAACCTGACGACGTTGCTAACACAAACCCTAGCAAGAGCCGTGCTTCGCAGAATCTACCACCGGATCGGAAACGCGACCCACTGAGAAGATCCGGCGAGAAACTCAGTGGGCTGTGTCTGAGGGTTAATTTACTCGTCGAGCCCTTCGTCACAAGCGAGGGGTTCGTTGAGGACGATGACCGGGTGGTCATTTATTGAGACTGTTTCAGTGGACTTTTCGAAGGATCCCGAGAAGTTACGTCTAGCGGCTTTGTTTTATTTTCCCCTTTTTTTTTCCTACCTAAGCTGATAGCCTTGAGATGCTATATCAGCAGCGCCATAACTAGTAGGTGAGCTCACGGGACTCAAACCTGATGACCATAGATTTACACTTAATATATTTGAGACGCCGATGACGTTGCTAACACGAACCCTAACAAGCATAGATTATACACTTAAAATATTTGAGCTAGCAAGAGCCGTGCTTCGCAGAATCTACCACTGGAACGGAAACGCGACCCACGTGTCTAGGATGAACGTAGACAGCTGTCATATTAAATAAATATCTATGGACAGCTGTGACGGCGAGGTGAAAGGGGCAAAGTAGCGGCCAAAATTTATTAATGATTGTTAACGTGCAATAACACACTTATTCATGAGCAGTGGTTTCGAACCTACAGATTTTTCGGCATTTCTACCGATATGGGCTCTGTTCTACCGAAATACCGAAATTAAACGATTTTTCTACGATTTCAGAGTAAACATGGAAATTCTCCCAATTTTCCTACCGATTTTACACTTTCAAACATCATTGAACCAAAAAATGTTAAAATTGGCAAAACTGCTACAATAGTTCTTATGAGTAGGCTCTTTCCCAATATTGTTTAGAGCAATGATTGCCAGGAAAATGATATAGAGTGGCGCATTTTAAGAAATTGTGAACAAATCAAAACATTTCCTGATGATGTAGAACTTTTGGGATGAAGTAACTTTACTAAAGCGTGGGGATGAAACTCAAATGTTTCCTTTGTTGTCTAATTTCATCTTTAATATTTTATCACTTCCCCATTCATCCGCTAACACATATTTTCACATATTAATCTTTTGAAAACAAAACAGCGAAATAGGCTGTCTACTGAACCAATCACTGGTCTATTACATGTAAAACGACAGCAAATTGTTATGATTTTGAAATTAATTCGAAGATGACTGTGGCTACGGGCAAAGAAAATTGGTATAAAAAATAATTATTCTTAAATATGATTGTTATAAATTAGCCTGTAATTTTTTTTTTAATATATAAAAGAATTTGATTGAATATTATATTTTTTTGTCAAATACCGATTTTGGGTACAAATATACCGATTTTTGCTGGCAATTCTACCGATCTCGCTCCATGACGTTCGAGATCACTGTTCATGAGCCTTCTGTGACCTTTGTGTTGAAAATCCACACCTTTTGAAGTTATACTTCTTTAGGCGCGTTATGAAAAATTGATGAGAGTGAAATTTTACGATGCGCACGCACTGTGACAAATTAACAGAATGAAGTTGCCCACTAAATCGCTCATTACAATACGACCCACGTAACTTGGCGAGTCTGAATATAGCCGCAGGTGAACTTTCGCGCATGTACACTCGTAAAACAAAGTGTTATTAGCATTCATTTTCTAGTAATATAAATGACAAAATTATTACTTAATATAATTCATACTAAATATTATTAAATTATTAACGTTAAATATTTATTATTAATTATTGAATATTTAAAAATAAAGAAAAAAATTTAATAAAAATAAAGTTTAACTTCTTACGCGCGTACATAAGTACACGCACCCTTTTTTTGCTTGAGCAGCCAGTCCAGCCAAAGGAGAGGTAACGAATGCTGCCATATGTTTTAAAATAAAAACTGAAGCTAGAAGAAGTTAAAAATTCAAATGGAACTGAATAAATTGTTTGTCACACACATATGAATTAAAGACATAAATGCTAAGCTAAGCTAAAAGAGCTTCTAAATGTTAATTTATTTAAAATTTTGTAACATACCTGTAGGTAAAGTTCTTTCTTTCATAAAAGGGCAACATGATTGACAAAATTGTTGCATATTGATGGGTAATAAAATCATAATGGTGTTAAATTTTAAACGACTACAATTATGTTCCATGTAATTACATAATGCTTGGTTTGAGTTTTCCTGATTTTATATTTAGTACATTGTTCAAAATTTGTGGTGGATATAAAGTCCACTAGCACGTCTAGATAGAAAGACTTCAAGCTATTTGGAGGAATACATTATGAGCTGAAAATGAAAAGGAAGAATGAAAGATAACAGTGAAAAATAAAGAGAAAAAAAATCCTAAAATTTTACAAGGTTGTATTAATATTTAATTAAATGTGTTGTGTACACATTTAATTAAATAAACCCAACCAAAGGAGTATTTGAGTCGACTATTATCAAAGGCGGCAATCTGACTTTTGGACAATGATTGGTAAATCAGAAAAACGAATTATTGACTTTGTATTCCATTGGCAGTCACAAAACTCTTCGGAACGACATCTTAGATAAATAACAGGTTAACTATTAACCTTTATTTAATGCAGGTTTTGAACCGTATTCTTTGAAGGAGACGATTATANTTTGTATTCCATTGGCAGTCACAAAACTCTTCGGAACGACATCTTAGATAAATAACAGGTTAACTATTAACCTTTATTTAATGCAGGTTTTGAACCGTATTCTTTGAAGGAGACGATTATATTCAAATAAATCTGTATTGACATATCAATAAAAATTTTTTGTCCAAATGTACAGATTGCCGCCTTTGATAATAGACGACTCAATTTTATGCCTTAGGCAATTTATTTTCTTTTACGGTTTTGATAGATTTGATAGTATGGGCTACCTCCTTGTGCCTATCCAATAAAGGAATCAAACAAAAGTCAAAAAGGTTTCAATTTCTGTTTGTTATTTGCATTCACTGAAACAAACGAATCGTGTAACTCGAAATAAAATTTAGCAAATTCACATTTAATATTTTTTTCTTGATTTAATTTATTTGACGTTCTGAGGAAGAAAAATTACAATTATTTGCAACAAAGAATTAATTATTGTTCAATTACTTAGTAAACGTGTTATTATTGTGAAAGTTATTTTAACGCGTTCTTTTAAATTTTTCGTTAGCAAAATGTCACAAGCAAGATTAGCGCCGTGCCTTCAGTTGCCTTTAGAAAACAAAACGTTAGTGAACGTGATTGAGAAAGCCAAGGACTGGGCCCTCATGCATGGTGTTGGTATGAGGGATAAGAAGCATTTCAACAAAGACGTAATTCAGGTATGTATTCATTTGAATTTGAATTTATTAATTTATGATTTTGAAAGTTTGATTTCTATGCTAGAATATGAATGGACATATACAAGCTCTAGATCTCGTTACTAGCTACTAAAGGTCCTTAACATAAATTATAACTTTATATTGTCACCTATAATGGCTATACTTATGCACACAAAAATAAGTATAATATAAAGTATAACAGAAGAACGAGTTAAAGTTATCAAATTTATATTCTATAAATCTTATCTTCTCCCATTAGAACAGTCTGCCAGTTCTCGAATATATTGATAATTTATGGAGTTCAATTCTAAAGAGTACTAAAGTTTCAATGTTTGTTTTGATATTATGGATGTAATTACTGTAATGTACGGCCGTCTGGTGTAGTGGTAAGTGACATGGTCACTACACAAGGAGGTCGCGGGTTCGAATCCCGCCAAGGGAAGGTATTTGTATGATAAATATAAATGTCCTTTCCAGGGTTATGGATGTATCTTAAATATATGTATGTGTATAATAAAAATCTTACATTTATTTCCATTATCTGGTACCTGTAACACAAGTTCTTTACAAACTTATCACGGGAACAGTCAATTTGGTGTGATTGTTTTAAAAAAAATGTTACTGTATGTTTTTAATGTAATCTTAACTTGCATTAATTTATTTGGTCTTAATCTTTTTTTCATCTTAGATTGCACCATTTATACTGTTACCGTCACCTTTTCCAAAGACCGAATTTATGAAGGCGGTTGAACTACAGCCAGTTTTGAATGAACTCATGCATAAGGTAAGATATAATTTATGTTGATAGCTATCAGATAGATGAGTTTCTAACTTATATTTTATGACCATATTTTATTTGCATTGAGCATTTTTCATTACCTCATTTAGATTTTAGACTGAACCACCTGCCTGATTGAAAATTCATCAATTATAACCTCATTAATACCTGCCTACGGGCTAATTCCTCCAAGATATCTCTGGATTTTTCTCTTGCCTTTACACTTTAGGAATTACAAGTAATAGTTTTTTTTTTTTTTTTTTTTTTTTTTCAACCCACACAGTAGAACAGATCTTCCAACGCGCTTGAAGGAGGCACAGTCCCCAAGATACTGGCTATGTTGCCTCGTTGGACAGCCAGACTCACTCTCTGTGCAAAGTACCAGCCAGCCTTAGCATCATGTGTAACCTCCTTCAAGCGTTTGGAGTTTTCTGTAAAAAAAAAAACAGTAATAGTTGTATCCTTATTGTTCTTTGATTTAACCTATAGGGCTAAGACAACTGTAGACTATTTAATTGTGAATTCGCAGTAGTAGTAGTTTAGTAGGAAGGTCAGCCAAGTTTGAAATGTAGGCTAGGAAATTGAATCATTATAGGATGAAACTCCTTGTTGCATATATTTACGTTGCTGTGCTTTAGGCACCAATGAATTTTACACAGAGTAGTCTTAAATAAAGTGCATCAAGGTTTTTTTTGCTTATATGGGTGGACGAGCTCACAGCCCACTTTGTGCTAAGTGGTTACTGGAGCCCATAGATATCTACAACATAAATGTGCCACCCACCTTGAGGTATAAGTTCTAAGGTCTCAGTATAGTTACAACGGCTGCCCCACCCTTCAAACCGAAACGCATTACTGCTTCACGGCAGAAATAGGCATGGTAGTGGTATCTACCTACCCAGAGGTTCTACCACCAGTAAAAGGATCAGTGCAAACAGTATCAAATAGAGTTGACAGCATCTCATAAACTAAAGTTCTGAATGTTTAAAGAATGTTATAAGTGAATATAAATTTTATACAGGTCGCCCACGATGATGAATTCTTGGAGCAAACTTTGCAGAATGCTCTACAAGTAGATGAGTTCACAGCTAATTTGTATGACATATGGTTGAAAGTGAAAAACGAGGGCATATCTCAAGTGAGTATAAATATTAATTTAACTACAATGGATGTTGTGATAAAATTGATTTATATAATAAATCGCTGTGTTGTCTACGTGTGCTCATAACCTCTAATGTGAATAATACTAGTTGGTAGCTATGAAATATTTTCTAAAATTCTAAATGTCTAAATGTCTCTTACTCAACTTCTAAATGTCTCATGTGTTACTTTGTAACAATATAATCCTATTATTAAAGTTGATAATACTAATGTCAAATTAGTAATTAGTAAAGTGTCTGAAAGTAATCATTTGAGATTTAACATAAATTTCTACATAATAATATACTAAACATCGAATGTGATATTTCAACAGTTTTTCTGTATTTGTAATTTGTATTATTACATTAGTGGTTATGAATGCCCAACTCATGCAGGTAGAATGTGTTAGCGTCTTGTGCTGTTAGACCAGATACACAATAATTTTTTGCATTGTTTGATACTAAGGAATGAATTGAGGATCTAATATTGTTAAATTTATTTTATAATATAACTTTTGTCTCATTNGAATGTGATGTTTCAACAGTTTTTCTGTATTTGTAATTTGTATTATTACATTAGTGGTTATGAATGCCCAACTCATGCAGGTAGAATGTGTTAGCGTCTTGTGCTGTTAGACCAGATACACAATAATTTTTTGCATTGTTTGATACTAAGGAATGAATTGAGGATCTAATATTGTTAAATTTATTTTATAATATAACTTTTGTCTCATTTAAACACTGATCATTTTTTAAATAAGGACATTTCAGGTTATTGATAAATTTAAGACAAGGTAATGCAATCACTAGTATTCTGACGAATTGGTTATATGTAAACTAATTTAAGGTTTTGAAATTGTTTTCAAATGAATCTTGTTGAATGTTAAAGTATAAGAAATTACTACAACTACACAACAAACTATAATTTAAATACTTTTTTGAATAAACCACTCTTTATTTCATTATAATAAACTCATAAAATTTATTTTACAACATTTAGTTAGGTTTTAAGGATATTTTTTTTATTTCTGTGAATCAGCCAATTAAAAAAAATCTGGAATTCAAAATTCAAATTTGTTTATAAGGAATTAAGAATAAGCCTTGTCTATTTTGGTGTATATGTTTTGGGTTTTGTCAATCGTTTTTTTTTTAAATCATAAAACATCATCTAAGACAGCGGAGCCTTAGTTATGCCAATATTTTCGATAATGTGTGGTGTAGCCGATATCGCTAGGTATGCTGCGTTCAGACATCATGCTGGAGTCAAGATGTCCACACACAGAGAACCAATGCGCGAAGCACACTCCGTACTGTTCCTGGAAGCAAGTGGAGATTAACAGCATCGCGTCAGGTTTCGGTCACCTAGGGCCGGTCTCACGCGAGATACAGAGGTAGCGACATTGGAAAGACTTGAGGATTTGTTGACTTCGAAATCTGCCTTTATATCCGAAATGTGCAGGATTTTTTCAACAAAAAAAAAAAAAAAATTAAATTAATTTTATAGTGTACTATTAATATGAATTATATTTTGGAACACAATCTTGTACATTGTTAGATACTATAATTACGGAACGGTTTTAAAATGATTTCGGAGTGAACACGGTCGAGGGAGCGATAAAGTCTGTATTGCGAGATACTAGTGAATGACGAAAATGGTTTTATGAAATTCATTATTTCGAACAATAAACATTTGCGGCAAAGTGACTTATTTGAACGTCGAACTCAAATCAATTTTTGTACACTAAAGTAGAATAGAAATCGTAGATATTATTAGGTACTAACAGTTGTTGCCAATGAATTTGCACAAGTAGATTTTTTTGTACAGAAAATTAAGTAATCGTGTTCTCGTTCATGGAACTAAATTGTTCAAAGTTAAGCGTACCTAATTCATTATAGAAAAGTTTTTGGTAAATTTATTTCGATTACCGATCAATAGAATATATACAGGATACAATTCGTATTTTCGCATTAAAAGTGTACAATTTCCAAGAATATTCGAAATTGAGTTAATATGCGGAATCATTTGGTATCACCACTATTTTTGCTCATAAATACTGTCAAAAGAGCATAGCTTCGATTTTTTTTTAAGTTTACCTTTGTTTTGACTTCTATTAACAAAATTAATACATAATTTTATCTTACTTCAAAAGACAGATAATGTAACTGGTAAAAAATAAAAAAAATAATGTTGCAAAGATGATTAATATTAAAAATATTACATGTTAATAAACCTTTAGAACACTCTCCTGTAAAATTAGTAGGTTTTGAGGACCGCATTATGTGGAAGGCATTGGGGAAGGCCTATGTCCAGCAGTGGGCAGATAAAGGCTGATGATGATGATGATGATGATGATGATAAGATTATACAGTTTTAATGCGAGAAGACAACATGTGACGAAATTTGTAGCTGGTAGGTATTTTCGATTTTTCGAACTTGCCTTTTGACGTATCGTACCTTGCCCGTTTTTATTACATAAATCGCATCGTTTTGTTGATTTTTCGTACCTTGTAAGTCGGGGCGTATATTGTACGTTCATGCCGGTCCGGCAATAAATGAACAGCAGTAGATCTATTAAAGAAGTTGTGTACCAAATACCTACCAATGTGCAGAGGAAACGTGCGGGACGTGCAATGTGCGCCCATGGTTTAGTATAAATTAATTATTTTTATTATAAACTTAGTTTTGTTTGGATTAGTTTAACGTTCACACACTTTGCCGTAATACACACATTTTTGCGTATTATTGGCCGTTCTTTCATATCATTCGCAGTCTCGTCACTAATGGCTTTGTCACGTTTCTATACTTCATTCTCTCGACTATCCAAGAGGTATTTAGATAAATATTTACTATAAAATTCACAAAGTCCACGCTGGTACATGTAATTGTTAATTGCTGTTTTGTAACTACGTATTATTTTATGATTGTTTTTGTCTTTTACACAGACTTACATGAAAACATATAAAAATCTTTAAAGAAAAGTTTTTACCCGATATTGGTCAACTATTCAAAACCATAAAGTCTGAATTTACTAGACAAACAGTGAAACCAATGTGTTTGGATAAAACTGTTGGTAACCTAAATGTACATTGTCGGGGTGACAGCTTTATCAGTGTGCTTAGTGCGAGTTTCTTAACGTTCTCGATAGCGTAAAAGTTAAGCCAATTTTTTATATTTTATTTAATTAAAATAATCTCTACAATTCTATTAAAATCAAAGACAAAAATGTACAGAGCTGCCACCGTAAAAAATGTTTTAATTCAATCATTGTTTTTGAAAAGAAAACTTAAAACTAACTAAAAAATGATATGTTTGTCGACGGCTCTGCGCGAAACAATCAATTGGCAATACTGTTATGGTATAACCCGATACACAAATTGTATTCTTGACCTAAAGGTCTTAGTTACCAGGTATAAAATTCCTTAAAAAAAAAAATGGTATAAAATGAATTCACGTTCGATGTGTTTTTTCTCTGTGGGTCAATCTAAAATTTACAAAACACCATTATTAACCAAGATGCTCGGAGATTCGTGAGCTTCTCCACCATGGTGTCCAGTTCCTCTCACACTACATATTCAAAGTAATCCTGATGCCATTTGATAACTTAAACAACATTAAAATTAAACGTCCACCTACAATTCCCATCAGACTACTTCTAGCAACACAATCTGAATTATTATAATCTACCTACCACTAAACCAAACTCAACATATCTACACATATTGTGGTATAAACTGGAAATGCGCGTTCGATGTGTTTTACTATGATATAATATAATATTCATAATATAATAATCAATATAATATTTACAAAACAGCATTATTTAAGTTACATGTCACTCCTGTTGGACAATGTGCGCTGCCCTGCCTGTAATTTGTACTCCTTAATAGAAATAAAGCATTGCTTTTAGTTCCAAGTAATTAAAACGATTCGGCTTTGGTAGTATTTACGATTTATTTTTTCGATTCGCATACATGATTAAAAACACTTTAACAGTAAGTAAATACGTTTAGAATTTATTTAAAGGTAATTTTAATCTTGCCTTACGTAGTTGTAAATACACGCTGAATTTAATTGTTCTTTTTGTTTGAAATTCATCCCACAGAACGCAAAGGGAATCTAGCCCATATATGCCAGAGTAATTTTATTTTAACAGCGGTCTTCTGTCAAATGTACAATACACGTGTAAGCACAGTATTTTAAGGCATCTTAATGTTTCCCATGATTAATTTGACAGCTGTCAAAGAAAACATACCGTATTGACAATCCATACAATCGAATCTTAGCTTTTTGAAACTTGTACTGTTTTTTTTGTAATACAAAATTTATTTAGGTCTTTGACATTATGCTAAAAAAGCAATGCTCTGATTTACATGCATGATTTCTTTCTAATAAGGAGTTTTTAATTAACATACCTAATAATAATAACAATACGTATCAAAACATAGTATCGATAGAGACTGATGCTAGAAAAATACTTAATTATTGTTAATAACCCAACAAGAGATTGTTATAATGTTGCTAATTTATTAACTTAAGAATTGCCTGTTTTTTTTATGAACCTCGCGCCCTTTTGCTATCTCTATTTTCGCTCGCTAATACTCACTATTCCAATGTATTCGGGACTTTGATATCACATTTCAGGGCTAATTATACAACTCAATATTTAGAAGACTAAGAGCCATACCTTTGCCAGTAAAAAAATGTGAAGAGTAAAAGAAGAAATCGTTTTTTTTTATTTCTTCAAACTTACAATAAATGTTAAAATTCGAATGTTTTCAAATATACACATCCTGTGCGAGGGAAGTGTCACGTCACGTCACGTCACGTCACGAATTAAAGCCTGGATTGGCGCACTGACTAATAACAGTAACGCTGACAGGCTGTTGTTTTGTAAATGTCATTTCGCGACAAGCCGAATAATCTGGTCGAATAAAAGTCCCATTATTTTTTCGTGCAGTAACCTTTACCCTCGCCTCTCGTGTCAGCGTTGAGGATAAACTTAAACACGCCATCCTAGTCACGTGCATAGTTACCGACTGTGTTTACTGGTATCCGGCTGTGGGCAATAACTGGATCAGTGCGAATAAATTAAACGGCTATTTTTTTTTATATTATAGATATATATTTTTTTTTATATATATTATAGATATTATTATAATTTAGTTTATATTAAACTAGACTTAATTTCTAATTCAAATCAATGGGTTAAAAAAAAAGAAGTGTGGTGTCGTGGGACACCGAATAGGAACGAAGTTCCTTATTATAAAAATATTAATTTTAAGTTCTATTCGAGGTATAAAGAAAGTAATTATTCGGGTATACATTTTTTATTATGATTTTTTTATAGATAAAAAAAAAAACTACTTTACATAGTTATCAACTTTATTTTATTCACAATGATTTATAAAAAATATATAATTAAAAAAATATGTTATTTTTTGTACGTTATTACAAAGTTAAGTCGTACCCTGTGTGCATTACTAATAAAAATCTTACGTTACGGACGCCTTATCCCGGTCAGGGTACCGCATCGTCCCATAAGGAACTTCGTTCCAAAAATCTACAATTCAAATAGAGTTGATAAGTCAAAGGGGAACGCCTACACTACTACACACGTCTGTGATTGCTCAGAAACGTGTAGCCAAGGAGAGAAATGATTTAAAATTAATTTCTATTAATATATTTTGTGAGGCCTATCACAAACAGCCAGAACGGTTCTTTCTATTTTGACGCTCTGATTTGAATGGGAGGAAACGAGCATGGCCATACAAAACGCGCCAAATCTTGACGTGAATCAAGTATGCTTAACCCTCGTTATGAAAACTTCGGAAATAAGCCACTAATTAAATGAGGCATTGTAACTATACTTGAGACCTTAGAACTTTTATTTCAAGGTGGGTGGCGCATTTAGTTCGTAGATGTCTATGGGCTCCAGTAACCACTTAATACCAGGTGGGCTCTGAGCTCGTCCAACCATCTAAGCAATAAATAAAAAAGGCGTTAGATGCATGACTATCTACTTAGTCCTTTTAGAAATGTTATGGTAGAACGTATGTTGATTTAACTTGCAAAATGGCTGTTCAACCACATCCATTTTATTGGTCATTGTGTTTGTAACTTTGTATGAGCCATGTCGTCGATGGAACGTATCGGATTTCGTAGGCGGATCCATTGTTTTATCAATACCCATATTGCACAAATATTACAAGTGTTTTTTTGTGTCATAAGGAAAATAAATCAAAAAGGATATGTTGTGACCTTAACCGTTCCAATCAGCTTGAAACGTCAAGTATGATTTGTCCAGTAACAACTATAATATGTGAATCATAAATTGACTACTTTTTTCGAAGTACCCGACTTGCCGAAGAGATCCGATATGGTCAAATTATT